GCTCCTTCAAAAGGAGGGGTGGTATTTGATCATCCTCTGAAACCAGTTGTGTATGTTTCTCAAACAATCAATTATAACTCCAAGGCAAAAAAAGGGACAAAACGAATAAAAAAGCTTCCAACCTACCAAGTCCATTACACATGAGGGAAAAAGACAAATAAGAAAAGAGGGTTATCCGTTTAAAATGAGATATGTAGAAAACAAAGGAAAAATAGTTCACTCGACTGATAGCTTTCTCTAGTAAAGTTGGCCAATAAGTTGGAGAAGATGGTAGCGAAATTATTAGCTTCTAAAGCCGATACCTAGGCTTAAAATGAACTTTTTTCTCTTAGCAACCAGCAAATTTATTTTCTGAACCGATGAAAGGGATGGCAAGGACTGGAAATCTAAGAGGTTTAGCATTTAACTTTATTTGGGACCGTGATAGTAATGGAATTGAAATGGAAATAAGGGGGAATCACTAACTAAGGCTATGCTCCAAAGAGCCTAAACAAAGTCCCCTAATTTTGGGAAGAGAAAAGGAAAATACTAATACTGATAGAATTAAGAAATAATAATATTCATAAAAATAGGTTAACTAAATATTAATAAGAAGAAAATCATTAAAACAATGATATAGACTCATAAATAGTCTAATAAATTTTAAATTTAACAGAATTATGGTGTTTAATTCATTTAGCAACCTAAAGCTTCTGCATCATTCTACCATGACAAGAGAAAACCAACCACGAGTTTCGAAGTGGCAATGATGTAAAGTATTAATCTTCAATCCTCCACATGAAATATAGCAAACTTGGCCACTCAATCATTCTCTTCAACGCCCAAAAGAAATGAAAGACAATATTGCTTTGGAGTGTGGTAGGAAGAGGATGAAATCAACAAGAAATAATACGAGGAAATAGGATTAAAATAAGAAATACTAACACTAATATAACTAAGAAATAATACTGCTAATACAAAAAAGAGAACTAACTACTATAACCATAAAATCTTAAAGTTACTAAGGTTTTGTTTGGATAAATTTCAATGATGGTTAATTAATGTATAATAATGACAGTAACTGAATGACAATAATACAGAATTGTAATGGCAAAATTTTTTTACGTTTGGATGATGGTATATTAATGTATGTTAATGGCATATTTTTGTTTAGATGATAAGATAGTATAGTTGTATTTTTATGTAAATTACTAATTTACCTATACATATTATATGTAATAATAAATGGTATAAAAAAAGTATGTAAAGAAAAAAAAAATTATTTATCAATATAATTATATTTGTATTTAAATAAATAATTATTATACATAATCAAATTAAATATTTATATTTAATAAAATAAATAATAATTATTTATATTATTATATTAATTTAATGAGTTTTTAATTGTCAAGACATATATGGAATTAATTAAATTAGATGGGGGTATAATGGGAAGCAAATAGAATGCCCACCAAGTACCACCAATTTGGTGGTTTAAAAATTCACTCCAAAATTTGTCAGTCAAATACCATTTATTACCATTGGAAATTGAAACAAACACAGTTTTTTCATGCTCGTAAAATACCATACATTAAAATTCTATCATTTATCATGATCCAAACAAATGGTAAAACTGAAATAATAGCTCCTAAATAGTATATTAGTTTTATATTCAACAGATTCATGATTTTTAATCTATGAAGAAAATTTAGAATTAACCCATTCTGCATCAAGACAGTAAGAAAAAGAGAGAAAGAATAATGACATTACAGTAAATGCACATCAAAGAAAGCTTCTCACTTGACATTCACAATTGACACTAAGAAATTGCCTCTCTAACTAGGAGAACATCCATCCAAAAAACAATTTTAGATCTATTCTCCTCCAAAAAGTACCATTAGTTGAAAACAGTTGCAAAGGGTCACGCATGTCATAATTTAACTCCATCGACATCAGCGGTCACCCTAAGGCCACGGCATAGCAGGTGTCTCTCAAGACAAATAATACCTAACTGTTTACCTTAGCACACAAGACTTCTGGCATGCTAATCCTATCGTGATCAAACTTTAAAGAGATCAAAAGCAGATAATCAAAGACAAAACTGGAAGCCCCCTGTTAACGAGATCAGCTTAGATTAATGCTTCCAAGGTCTCTATCATTATTACTAAATGAGGTGTAGAGAAAAAGAAGAAGAAAGAAAAAACTAAGAACATTGCCATGTACTTTGAAATTGTCAAAGAAATATTATATAAATATGGAAGGATAAAAAAAGTAACATTCACATAAAAAATAACAAGTATGCTAATAGTAAATAACAGATAAACTGACTCCAAAAAATGATTTTCAAGCATTTAAAACTATATGCCCGGCATAACAAAACTTTATACAAGCAAATAAAAAGCCACCATTTGACACTACAATTTAACAAAAGAAATATAACCAATGTCACAATCCATTAAGCGCGAATTTGCAAGGAGAAATAACATGATTAAAACCAAAAAGCTTTACCCCAGTCCTCCATTTATTTCTGGTCTTTTGGTACAATAGAAACGTTGTATTATCCTAAAATTCAAGTTTAACCTGCATAAGCAGAGAGAAAAAGTATTACAACAATATGACAATAGAAACATCCAATAGATATTTTAAAAGTAGTCAAAAAAATAGACTTAGAAAATTGTAATAAATAAGGAAGGATATCCACCTGCTATTAGTGGTAAGGCATTAAAATTTTCTGTTTCAAATGGGGGACTCCTAAGTAAATGTGCTTGGGCCCACATATATACTGTGTTATGCATTTGTGTGTATGTGTGTGAGACAAAGAGAGAAAGGAGGAGGGAGAAAAAGATATATATGGTTCTCAATTTTGTATCAATTATATTAATACATATAGTACTACATCAAATCCTAGAATAAAATCCAAGAGAACTAAATTCTTAAAGCACTGCTTGGAAATAAATTTAAAATATGAATGGTAACACAGCTAATTTAGAAGTCCTTGCTATCTCAAGATATATATACACACACACTATATGTATATTGGAAGAAAAGTTTAGGGTCCTAAAATGCGAAACTATTGGAAGAAAAGTAATTTTTAAAAAATTAATTATATGAAGAAGGAAAATGATAAGAAGATTTTCTTTCAAATCAAATATGTAGTCTGCTAATTTTCTCATTCACCTTCAGTTCAGCAGGAAAATACTAACTTACAGTTTTACCCATACCTTAATACTTATTCCTTGAAAGTTCAGACCTCTAAGAAGAATAGGCCTGTGACACTTGTATCAATCCTGATTGAAATTTCAAGATTTTTTTTTTAAATAAAAATGTATAGTATGTATTAACAAGGCACCAAAAAAGAGGTATAACCCATGTACAAAAGATTTAAATCATGTTAACATATCAATGACATACCTAAAATTCACATCACTAATAACGTAATGTCCAAACAAAATAGAACTAAAATATTGAATCCACTTATTTTTTAATCTATTGATACTGTTCTCTCCACTATCAAAAGCCCTACCATTTCTTTCCTTCCAAATGACCCATAAAACAGTCAAAGTTAGCAATCTATTTTTTACATATATCCCATCCCAAGCCCATATTTCTCCACCAGCAGACCCAGCAACAACCCAATCACTCTCCATAAGGCCATAGATCAAACACCATAAGCTGTAAACAAACAGACACCATAATAAGAGATGGTTACACGTTTCCTCAGCTTGCAGGCAACAGTAGCAACCGTTAACCATCACTCTTCCTCTAATTCACCGCAAGATATGAACCAAACATTCGACTTGCAAAACTGCTTAAGTTGCATATAGTTTTTTTAAGACTTCCATCCATTCAAGAAAAGAGACTATCTCCTATTCAATTTATCTCTCGCACCTCCATCATCTCCAAAACCCTACCTAAAGCTTATCATTTCAATCAATCTACTCAACAAATATATTACAGAAAATACGAACATAAACTCAAACTCACTCAATTAACATGAAATCCAGACTAAATCGCTTATTACTCCCATAAAATTCTAGCTATATATCCTACCCCACTTTAGGATGTTGACAGATTTTACTCAACACCAAGAGGAGTCAAGATCTGATAATTGTGTTCTTTGAAATGTTCTACTGTCACTCGAAGAGACAGATATAAACATGTCTAAATTTATAATTAGAGGTATAGCTAATAAAGATGAGCACCTGACAGTAAACTCCAGGACAGCCGCGGATCTTTCTTCCTACGAGTAGCTTCCTACGAGGGGAGCAATACGCAAATTAGTTTCCTCTCGTATTTCATAGCAGACTTCATAAATCCGTGAAACAAACGGGAATTTTTTATAAACCTAGAAAGTTTTATTTACCTATAAACCTCGCAAGATTCGATGTCAGCACCAGAACGCCTGAATCCGATAGAGGATTCCAGAGGGAGAGAAAGAAATGAAAGGAGTTATGAGGAATTAGGGTTTGGACAAAAACAGCTAAATAACACTAATATATTTCGATAGGAAAATAAAATACGAAAATACAAATTTGCCCCTGAATCAAACGTCCAAAATCCACGCCGTTAAAGAAGATAAATCTTTTTTCCCGCCTTCTCCCCTTTTCCTGAATCCTGATCAGTCTCTCTCTCCTTATGCACCAAAACCCTAAATCCAGTTTTTGCCAAAATTAAAAACCAATCGAAACTGCGAAAAAGATAGCAGATGGTGGAAATGAGTTCGGTGGCCTGAAACTAGGCACGAAAAGAGTGAACGAAGAAAGAACACGAACGCCCCGAAAAGAGTGTGAAAGCACGAAGTTGGTCAATCCGCGTTCGGCAATTGCGAGAAAGACAACAGAAGGCAGCTCGGAGTCCGCTATGAATTTTTTCTGAATAGAGACGTGCTTCTTGTAAGGAGGATTCTGTTAGCTGCAAAAAGGGGAAAAGAGAAAGTGAAAGAGGAAAGACTGGAAGAGGAAGAGAGGGATGGGTTTTTAAGGAAGAAGAGAATTCAAGAATCATGAAGAGAGAGGGAGAGAGAGAGAGAGTAGCGAGTTCTAGAAGGGTAAAATTGTCTTTTCGGTATTCCTTTTAGTGCCCCCGAATTTCAATAATAATTTGTTTTTTTGCTTATTTTAAAACATACATATGTTTGTGCGTATACTTATGGATTTATTCATAAAAGTCCATATCTTATGTACACGTAATAATTAAGTAAAAAACATAAAAATAATTTTTCATTTAAATTTTTTAATTTTCATTCATTGTTTTTACTATGATTTTTATTATTATTTATTAATCTATATAATTTTTTTAACAAAATTTTAAAATAAAAATAAAAATAATATTTCAACACTAAAATGGGTACTACGTTTTTCACTCCTCAATTTCTATTGATGTCTTCTGCATTTTTCTTTGGACAAACAAATCCAAATCATAATTCAACCCCTTTTAGCTCTTTCTTTTGCTGCTTGTAGAAGACAAGAGACCTTTTTTTTACCAATTGTCTGGTTATTAGAGTTCAAGACATTTGATTACAAATACATGAAGAAATTATACTATATCGGAATAATGCATTTCTCTTATCTCTTTCCGATAAATTAAAGATTCGAATATCATGATACATGCAACCCGTTCTTTTCAACGTATAACGAACACAACCGTTCTTTTCAATTGAGTTCCAAAAAAAAAATGCAGAAAACTATCTATCTACAAGAAGTTGATTACTGCTATTCTTTAATAGCTCTCTCTTTTCCTCAAACACTTGAGCAGTAAATTCAAGAAATACATAAATAAGAACAGAGTTTGACTACTTACAACAGCATCAATCAAAAGAAGAGAAACATAATCAGACTACAAAATTGGCAAAAAGTATACAGATGGAGTACTGAAGCGAATGGACCGAACTATAATGGGAGGAAAGTCGGTTTAACTGATATAAATGTAAAACTAGTGCAGCAGAGATGAGAATAAGCAGATTGCAGAATATATTCAACCTCTCAAACCAAATTGGCTATAAATAAAAACAAGACACTGCTAATCTTCAACCAGAATGAAATTCGCCCTAACGAATTCAGTCTCATGAACTCGGTTCACAGATACTGTCCGAGAGGTTCACTGGCATAAACTTTTCTACAAAAAGAAAAAAAGATTAAGAAAAGTCAGCTTGAACCCCGTTAACAGCTAACTTAACCCAAATCAAACCTTAAAAAATGATTAAAACAGGAGGGAGCTCGGAGGCAGGCAGCAGGCAGGCAGGAACATAAATTCTAAAGAATAACAAATGAACTTTAAGTCAAAGCAATATAAAAAAAAAAACAGGGTTACAAAAAAGGTATCAGTTAGTAATTTGGAACATCAAAATCTCCACTCTCAAATACTTAATATCCTCATGATGATCATATTCTTGATGTCCACAAAGTCCAAGTTACACTAACAAGGACTCACAACACTGCATCATTTCCTAATACCATTTATAACTCCCCAGCACAAATACCACTGAATCTGAACTTTTCAAGTTCAATTGCTTAACTCTTAAAAACTCAAGCGTGAGTTTTTGATAGTAATTTAAGGCCTTAAATGAAATTCATAATCATGTCTTTCCGAGAGGTTAGAGTATCACATGTCTTTCTGACGAGAAGTTAGGTATCATCCAAAGATTTCCCAATTGACTTGCAAATAAAAGGGAATAACCTGACTGAACAGTTTGCAAACTCAAAGTACCGTTGAATTTCAACCTATAACCGAAAAACAGGAAGCCATATCTTATAAAACTTAAGGGAAAAATAAACAATACAACACCTAAGGCCAATGCATGTGATCCATCAACTAACTCTCTCAAAAACACCCAATAACCAGAAACCAAAATCAAATAAAGTCACTGCGCCAATCAAAATTCCAGATTCACCAAACCTCCAACTTTGCTTGCTCAATCCAATTATCAAGAAAGAAACAAGAAAACGGTGGGACAACCTTACACTAAAAGCTGGAAACTCACTTTTGTGCTCCCTCCTGCCTAGGAACTCAATCTTCAAGCTCAGTAACGGGGCACCCATACCAGCTCGGAACAGCAGAATGGTATAGCCATATCTTCCTTGACTCAGCGCCCAAGCACTTATTGTCCAGGTTGGCCTTGCTGCCTTCCTTCCAGGGTAACTCATCTATCTCCTTAGACACCCCGGATTCTATGCAACCCTCCATTTGCAGCTGCAAAATCATACTCCATGACTTTCTTCAATCCCTTCTAGGCAGGATTGTTGCAAACTCTGTACTGCAGCATGAACTGAGAAAGGCAATTGCGGAGGCAAAAAAGAGGGTGAAAGTGAAAAGGGGCCTGAGGCAGGTTATTTTCATTGTCATCGTCTCCAGAAATGGGTTGAAGGAGGAACTAAGGGAAATAAAAGTGGGAACAGTGAAGGAAATGGGAAACAGAACTGGGAGAGGATGGATAGAGACTGAAAGTGAGGGAACTTAACCTTGTAATGTAATTGGATAACAGAGGCTTTAGAAATTATAACAATAAACATTTTATTACATTGTATTTTAATACACAAACAACTGATCAATAAATTGATTAAAAAAAATATTGCTATTACGGACTTTTTACCAGTAACCAAGCATGCACTTTTGTTCGGGAAGTGATTTATTGCTTGTATCCCTTCGCCATTTTCACACTTTCTCCAAAATTTCAATGATCTGTAACATTCTTTTACAAATTCAAAAGCTGTAACACCTGAATTCCCTTCACCAGGGGAAATTACGAAGCCATGAATATGAAATTTTTAGTTGCTAAGACCAGTGCCCATTAACCACACAAATCTAGCAGAGACCATAAATTAGTACCTCAAATTAAAATGCGGAAACATGATAGAGCCAAAGTCCAGGCTGCAATTGAGTGCAGGATAACATAATAACAGGAAACGAGATGAAGAAAGACACCCAAAAAAAAGAGCATGAGTTTAAAACAGGAAAAGAACGGGCACCAAAGCTAACCACAATACAGAACCAGCAGAGACCATAAATTACTCGATTAAATTCAATGCTGAAAAGTGCAAGTTGCAATAGAGGGACAAGGCAAACATGATAGCACAAAAGGATAGTAGAATATGAAACCCAAAAAGAGCACGGCCTTAAACCCAGAAACTCTACAGAGAATCAACTTTATCAGAAAGCTTGACGCAACAAAAGATTGTTAATGTCCTAAACAGCTATGGCTAAGCTCTTGCAGAGAGGATTAACCTGGAAATAATTCAACACAGAAAAATTCCTCTTGCTCATTCTACTTATAAGATGAATACAAGGCTATTCTAATTATATTCCATCTGCTCATCAACAACCACATATTAATTAACAAGCCCTAGCAACTCAAATTTCTCCTAAATTGACGAGATAATCCCAAAAAGAAGTACCTCGTGGGAAAGCCAAAGGAGATATATATACATCACAACGCAAATCCTTTGAGGAAATCAGGATCGCGCTTCGCTTTCTCTTGGAACTTCTTGAACCAGCGGTCCAAGATATCCATGGGCACAACCAGTCTGCTCCCGTCAATGCCGCAAAACGATTGCATGAAATTGAAGAGGTTCTCACCGACCTTCAAAGCCAGCCGCTCAATCTTCTTCTCCGCCGCGACGTCTAATGATGGAAGCGCCGCCGTGTTCTCCACCGACACCCCAATCTTCGCGGACAGAGGGGCAGAATCCGACGAAGTCAGCAACATCTGCCCCACCGGCTCCGGCCACTGCAGAGACAGAACCGCCGACGGCCGCGCAAGGGTGATCGCCCCGCAAAATACGAACTGCGACCCCGGGGACTGCACGTATACCGCCAGAGCCTTGTCCGGGGGTAAAGTAAATCCGTCCAGGAGAAATATACACATTTCCCGTACCTGATCGTACGCCTCACCTGCGTACATTAGACACAGCATCCAATCAGAATCAAACAATTGGTAAAGTGCGCCCCTGGGAGTGCGTACAATAAGAAGACAGTACTATAACAGAAGGTGAAGGGAAAAATTTTGCGTGCTTACCTACAAAAGTGTTCATGTCCAGAACCCAGTGGCAGGTATCGATTTGGGAGAAGGTGGAGATATTTATCGGGAAGCTCCGATTGGGGAACACGACGCCGAACATTTCTCTCTTTCTGGTTTCGGGTATTGGGTTTCGGGTTTCGGGTTTCGTAGGTTTTGAGAAGCAGAGCGGGATTTGTGTCTTAAAGCGTGCGAGCAGGGAATCCAAATCCGGTGGCGACTGGTGGGAAGAAGCTTCCAGTAGCGTCTAGAAAAGTAGAGAAACTCGCCATGTCTGCTGAAGCAGAATTCAGAAGTGCATTTCCAAGCTGCCGAAAAGTTATCATTTTGTTTTATTTTTCTAATTGATAAATTTCACAGTTTTTTAAAATATTTATTTTAGTTTTTAATGTAATCTAGAGTCGGTAATAATAAAATAATTTAAAATTTATATTCTTATCCAGCAATCTAAATTAAAAATTACATTGCAAGAATGTTTCATCCAATTATCCTACTTTTTTTAGGCATATTTAATATTCAAAAATAAATTTATAACAAAAAAAATAAATAATCTTAAGTTTCTATAAAAATAATTAAATAAATTTTCTAATAATTCTTTCAGTATTTATGAACACGATTCTAAATATTATGATCTATATAATGAATAGAATAAAGTAATGCGTTCAGTAAATAAGTACTATAAATAATAGTATAACTCAGTTAAATTTGTAAAGATAACTCAGTTAAATTTGTAAAGAACATAAAACAATCGGTAGATAATATTTTTAAAATATTTTTTCTCTTATTTTAAAATATGTAGTAATTCTAAAAATCTAACTCGTAAACTTACTAAGTCATCTAATTCATATATCTACTTACAACTTGTTCAAAAATACTATTATTGAATAAAAAAAATACATATTTAACTTTAATTAATCTCTTCACTATTCATCTATTACTTGTTTGTAATTTACAATTCACTTAATTATCTTACTAATTTCACACATGTACATCTGTAATTTCTGATAATCAGATACGCATATAAGATATTCATATTACATCATACTCACATTTATATTATCACAAATTCTCTTATCTTTTTAGAATGTCACGTGTATTTATTTATTTATTTTTTTTAGTTAATAATTTTATCTTATTAAATAATTTAATCTATTTACATATTTTATATTAGAATTAAACCAAACTATATATAAAAAAAAATAACAAATCACGTACTGAATCAAAGAAAATAAACACAAAAGTATACATAAATTCATAATAGAATGAATTTTTGCATAGTACGGTATCTTCTATATCAACACGCGGCATCTCAACCTTTTTTCTGTTTATGTAATAAATAGAAAATAAAACTCTTCATACAATTTAGGAACTATAACCGCCTTTTTATATCGTCAATTTTTGTCATTTTTCATTTTATCTATCATAAAATGAGAAATTATAAATATGTTATTTGCACATATTATAACCTTATTATTAAGTTCGATGCATTAAGACTCATAATCGTTTAACTGTAATTGATCATTTTTAAACGGACTCAATAAATTGTTAGTTTGTTATACACACCAAGACCCACGTTAAGCTCGTATGTTTAAAAAAAAAACTAACATTTTAAAGTTTCAACGCACAATGTTATTTCAGTTGGTATTATTGCGGCATAACAAATCCTCTATGCGATGTGGATACCTAAATAGATAACAAACCATCATTCTCAAAAAGTGTTATGGGTACTAGATAACATATAACGTGTAACAGATAACAGATAATAGATTATCAACTACGACATCTGGTATGAAACTTCTAAATCAAGTTTGACTGAAATCGTATCCACGGACAGAGTTCACCCAGATCACACACTAAATTGGCCCAACACACACACGCGCGCATCTCTATTTGATACCGATTAAATAGTTTTCTTTTTAATTTTAATAATCACTTATATATTTTGTCATTATAGAATTTTATACTTTAAAGTTAAGTACCTCTAAGATTAGTTTGAATGTTTAATTATTATACTTCATAATTAATCAATAATTTAATTTGACATAAATTCTCAATTTTCCTAATTTTTCAATTAAAGTAAACATTTTCACAATATTCAATACACATATCTATAACAAAACATAACTAAAATGAAAAATAATCAGATAACATAATTTAATTATCAAAATATAAATTTCGTTGGAACCTAAACACAATTATTAAAAATCGCCGATTGGATACCATTAATTAATTGTTTAAATATATCAAATTATATTTGTAAGCACAAACACACTTACTTGATCTTCATTTGCAGATCTATTTCGCATAAGGGTCCTGAATGTCAACTTCAATTGTGTGTAAATACTAAAAATTCACATCATCGCATGCAAACACACTATCACCGGAGCTTACATGCGCCGCCATCAGAACACCATTTACCGCTGTGAATCGACCAAAACACATTGCAAAATGCACCGCACACTCAAATTCAGCGCAGATCTGGTGAAATCGTACCATAAAAAAAGTTGGAATCGTAAGTGTGTTAAGCTGCCACCATGGGTCTTTGTCTTCTTTGGTCCCACCACCACTCATTACACCACCAGTTTCCTCCCTTCCGATTATTTCTTCGCGCATATTGGGAACGGATCTGGGTGCTTTGTTGCCGCTCTTATCTTATCCTCCTCCTCCTCCTTTTTTTTTGTGTTGTCTCTCTCTTTCTGATTCCTTCTTATTATAATTTGTACGTTGGAGAATAGAGAGTCTTGAACACTTCTTCTTCCTTATTTGGTGTGCAGATCTCCTCTCCTTGTTCGGATTCCAGAAGCATATCTGCCTCTTCCTCTTCTTATTGTAGAAGCGTGTTCGCCTTTTTTTATATATTTATTATTATTTTTTTTTTTTTTTGACACCTGCTCCATCTTGAACTAGGGCGTTACAATTAAAATAATAGTCTAATTACTTAAATACCAATTAGTATTTTTTTTAATATTTTAATCCAAAATTTAAACTAAAATCTCTTATAATTATTCATATTTATTTTGTTTTTTAATTTATTTGCTGATGCAAAATAAGAAAATGTTCAAACTTCAAAATTAAAGTGAATACTTTAAATATTTTGTCTAATTAATGTAACAGTCCGACATTTAAAATGAAATAAATTATAAATTGAATGCGGAAGCGAAATAAGAAAGTTATTGTTTACATTCCTTACACATTAATTTATGATATCCAATAAGGGTACGAGAATGATCATTCTAGAAGAACAAAAGAAAAATCAAGAAATAAATGAAAAGTAACCAATTAGATATCATATAACGACTTTCACTAGCTTTTAAATGAAGTTCGGGTGGTAAACTATTCACAACTCCCTTATTGATCGAGATCTGAATATTAGTTATCTTGATCTGAAATGGTTAACGAAATGGTGAGCTACATTCACAGTAAGAATATCACACTACTCACTGATACATAAATGAAGGTTAGTAAAAATCATAAAAATAATTAATAGAATTATTAATTTAAGTAAATTCATTTATCATAAGTAAAATTATTTATTGCATACTTACCATATGCGAGATTTCAAAAAACTGATCTATAGAGATAATAGCTCAACAACATCATAATCTCATATTTAAGTAAGTAAAAATAACAACTTTTTCTTTTTATTGATATACTAGTATCAATTGGGGTCCATAAGGATATCTCACTACGCATGAACCAATATTTAACCTTATCAACTAACCGGTCGTCCCCATATCTCGTCCGGTATGAGCGCAAAAAATATCATCCCTCAATACTCCATCCAGTATGAAGGTGAAACGAATTGTTCTCATACTCCGTCCGATATGAGTGTCAAAAATACCAATTTTCGATACTTTGTTTGTTATGAGGCGACGTTCACGGTAGGGTTCCCTATGTACCCGGTCCGTCCACCATCTTTTGTGATATATAGTACGGCTACCATTCATTCTTTCACTTAACCAATCAATTTTCTGTTTACATTTAATTTTCAGTTTCACAATTTAACTGTAAATTAAAGCAAGACAAATAATACATGCATCAAGGAAACACAACTGAATTATTTTACAAATTTTAATATATTATCATGCATTTAAATCTGTAAAATCAAACAATCGATTAAATAGGGCAACAATAATAAATAAACGATTATGGCTTCATTAATTACCTGTAATTAATTTTCAAAAATTTTTAAATTATGCAAAATACCGTATTATTGATAATTAAACTTCAATTTCATAACAGGGAATAAGGTGAGGAATTCTTACCCAAATCGGTGTTTGAAATACTGAACTTTCTATTGTGTCTACCTGCGGTCCCAGAGTTTCCTGAATTTTTATGCATAGGTAAAAACACGCTTCACGTATCTAAAAATACCTCAAAAAACTCAAAATTGATGTTAAAAATATTTTTCGACTAATTTCAGAATTCCAGCACGCTGTTTTCGATCAGTTTTGACCGGTTTTGGTCGGTTTTATACATATTCATGCGAGAAAACACGTTAAGGGGCATCGGTTGGCCGGAAAAAGTCAAAAAATAAACTTTCCGGTGGCAGGATTTTTCAATGCGGCAGCTCTGCCGGCTCACCTTCACAGTTGGACATTTTTCTTCAGTCAACCTGTAGAAAACAAAATGGTGAACATAATGGTGAAAAAATCGCATGAAACGGGAAACAAAAAGGGGCTCATCGGATGCGATTTTTATTTTTCACGCAGCAGTACTGTTAGGCTTTACTCGTGGTTTCCAGCTTATCCGCAGTTCCTTTTGCTCCGATTTGACCATGGGGGTGTTCAAAATCAAATTGCAAGTGAACAAGAGAGTTTTTACATTTTTTGATGGTCGGAGGTGACTCCGACACGACGGTGGGTGACAATCAGCTCCCTTTTCCGGCGACTGGTTCTTCTTCTCTGGTGGGGGGACTGACGGCTAGGGTTAGGGTTCAGTGTGAAGTGAGATATTTATTTTCGTCTCCCTTAAATCTAGACCGTTCATCGCGTTTGATCTCAATCGTCCGATCGCATTTAAAGAGGGAATGAATCTGGATCATTTATCGCGATTTAATTTGAACTGTAGGATCGCATTTAAAGAGGAAACGAATCTAGGTCATTCATCACGTTTAATCGCTATTGTCTGATCGCGCTTGAAGAGGGAACGGATCCGAACCGTTCACGCGTACGGGAACGCATCCGAGCCATCTGATTGCGGGCGCGCGAATTATCAGCGTGGCCTCCCGCGTCATCGAATCAGCGTGCTTTACCACGCAGCGCGTTCTGATTTGTCGGGATTGCTGACTGGGCGGTCCTACGTGGCG